ATTTGCTTGGTCCGGCGACTGCAACTGGTAACTGGAATCGGAGGTGCCGATGCGAATCCATAAGATTCCGAATTTCAGCTGCCCTTGATGAGGTGATGCAGACATGGCCTGAGGAAAGGTTAAGAAAAGGCTACGCGGAAGCTGTCCCGAAAAAAACAAAAAACATAAAATACAAAAGCTGAAGAAGCAACAAGAGCTGAAAAAGAACACAACTTTCTACCTTTACTTTTTGGCCAGGCCCCCGAGGAATTTCCGACTGGTTTTTTGGCACCGTTTTTTCTTTGCAGGGGGCTCAAGTGAAATGCAAATGTGGTTCGGGGGCTGGGGGGCTTATCGGTAATCTATTGACTGAAAATTTGCAACAGATAAGGCGGGGCACTATTAAGCCATAAAACGCATGCAAATGAAGGCGTTGAAATGCGCATAAGGCCAAAAAGGAGTTTCGGGGCTGGTCACTTCACTTAGCCGAAAGTTAAAGGGCGCAAAAACTAACGCGTTTCGGAAAAGATAAAACCGGACAGTGGCGGGTAGTATGGGGGGGGAGGTCAGTCTGTCTTTCGGTCGCTCGATGGCAGCTGTTTCCTTCAGCGGGGGTAAAACTCAACTTCAACGAGGCCAACGGCTGACTGGCAATTAATTATGCCCAAAGTCGCTCATTCTCACTCACTCGATCTGCCCTCTCCCTCTGCCCTACTCGCCCCCTCCCTTTCTAGTAGCGGGCATATGTTTATTTACTTAATTTACTTAATGACACACATCTAGAGAGGAGCACGAGTCACCCAAAGACACCCAGAGAAAATATATTACCAAAATTGGTCATTAATTCGGGTTCTAGAAGTATACATTAAAACAAAAATTTTAAGGTCTGAAAAAAATAATTTAAAAAAACATGAAAAGCTATATATATATATATATATATATATATATATCTTCATTTCAATAGGAAGATTTATTATAATAATTCTTAAAGGACTGTTAGCCTGTAACAAATAAATATAAATATTCATTTTTTTTCTTAAGAATTTCCTATTTTAAAGTAAAACTACTTCTACCTTATTTTTTCTTGCCGTGCTGGCGCACACAATTTTTTTCTGGTGAGGTCATCCAGGCAAAGAGAAGCAGGCCATGTTTGTCTAATAAATAACATTATTAATTACCAGTGCAATTAAGCATAAGTACGATTGGGGCACCCTCGCCAACATAGATACAAATACAAATAGCCCCGACATAGGCGGAGGGAAAAAACTAACAGACCGACTGCACTTGATGACCCAAATTTGAGTTCATTGAGTGATATATGAATGCATTAATCTTAGTTTATGTTTATTAGTTTGTTTATCAAATTTTATGCAAGCTGAAGAGAAAAAAAACCGAAACTGTGGCTAAAAAAACTGAAAACTGATCCCGTCATGAAATGCATAAAAGATCAGAGCTGTGATCTCTCAGCTGAAAATTTATGATCTACATAATACGTTTTTATGTTGCTTTTATGGGATCACTGGATATTTATGGTTGAGGGCAAATTTTTTAAATGGAAAAATCGTTTTTTTTAGAAACTCTAAACATTTGGAAGTTTTTTAATGTATTTCTTATAACTTTAAGCAGACTTCTGGCCATTAATCTTCGGCCGCTTGTTATTCGCTTAAATATGGCAACTGTCACGAGCAGGACAAATCAGGCAAGTACTAACGAGAAAATGCTGAAAATTACAGAGCAGAGCAACTAGAGAGCTTCCACAGCCAAGCCCCTCGGAAGGGAGCGTTCTTCTAGTCAGTCTAGCCGTGTCACAACGTTTAATCTTTATTAATTACAGTGAAATAATAAGTAGATCCCTCCGACGTGCACCCTTCCGCTTCTTCGCCACTTTTCTCTGTTTCTCGGGTGTCTATTTCTCTATTTCTCTCTCCTTTCTCTGGCAATGTCAGACGCACCACCGACTGATTAATGCCGGGGCTAAAAGAGCCAAACAAGCGAGCATGCCACAAGCAGCCAAACAGGGAACTTTCGGTCTGGTTTAGGAATTTAGCTGTGCACTGGGAAAAAAATATTTAGGAAAATCTTGAAAAATCTAAAATTTAATTTTTAATTTTACACCTGATTTTTGTTTAATCAAAGATATTGAAAGTAAAAATTTTTAAAATATATTACTGCAATACTAAATCAGCTAAATTAATTTCTGAAATTTTGTTGTATATGAAATCAAAGAATTTCATATATTTATAAATATTTCAAGAACTAAACTATATTTTTTCGAGTGCCCTGGGCTGAGGTTTCCCATGTTTTGTTGCGTCCTAGTGGGACGACATCCATCACGTTGGCGTTTCTCCGCATGGAGAGCAACTCCCCAATTTGTTTGGTGCCAAAAAGCGAGCAGCGGGTGGGAAAAGCGGCGAAAAAGCCCGGGGAAAGGAGAACGCAGAACGGAGAAAGGCGAAAAGAGAGTAGGAGAAAAAAAGAAAATTAGATAGCAGCGTGTGCAGAGAGACCATTTGATCCTTTTTTAAGGTCAGAGGCGAAGGCTACAAAACCGCGCCACGCCTAATTACGCATCTAATCAGGAGAGGTGTACCCGGAATTCCAGCAAAGGAAACATCTGCCTGAATGGGCAAATGGGCAGTGAGTGAAAATTTGCGGCTTGTGAATCAGCCAAAAGCTGTTCAAATATTTAAACGGAGCCCAGCCTCTCGATACATATTTGCACTTCAACTTAGCTCAAACTGCGCATGCAAATGCAAATGCAACAAATTCAAATAAATTCCGCGGGGACAGGACAATTAAATATGCGCATAACTGTTGATAATCATCGAATCAATATGCTGACAATTTTCTCACGCATTCGCCCAAGACTCGAAAGATACGCACAGAGATAGATATTCAAATGAGTTGCATCCCAAATACAGACAAGGACCCCAGGACGAGGGTTCATCATTATCATCATCATCATGAGGATGCTGACATCAGCTCGAGCGGCTGAAGTCAATGAGTAGAGGAATATTTTCAGGGGCAAAAACGATTTGTTCTGCTTCGAAGTTCGAACCCTTCCTCGTCACTCGTCATACAAAAAAAAAGGATTTGTAATTTGAATGTTAAATAGCAGCAGCCGCAACTCTCATTCCCTCCCTATTCTTCCAAACTGTATTTACTGCTAAATTAATTCTTACTCTTTTCTTGAAGAAAATAAAAAACGAAAGGACTTGGCCTGTTTGCTTAGGGTTTCCTTTCATTACCATTCAATTCGATTCGCGCCGCGCCGCCGCCTTTCAAGTCCCCGAGAAAAATCTATAAAAAACAATCTATTAAGAAAACCGATTTTTTTGTTTTGTATTTTGTATTCTTCTGATTTCTTCTCCAAAGTTTCGCTGGCTGCTTAATGGCAATTGACAGGCGCAGTCATATGTAAATCTTTGGGCGTGGCGGTATCGCCGTTCAACCAGCTGCCGTTGGTCTCCGATTTCAAAATCAGTCGGCGGGCCAAGGAAGAGATTAAATAGGGCGAAGGCAAAACACGTTTTTTTCACGCTTTTCTAACGGTTTTTGGCTAGGGAAAATATGGGAAAATTATTATGGAAATTCGGAGTGAAATGAGTAAATAAATAACCCAAAATAAATTAAAGAAAAAATGTCAATAAAAGATGTACCAAAAATAGATTTAAATTAGAAAGACCCTTCCATGTATCCTGAAATTATGTTCTGAATATTTTTTAAGCCCCGTTATAATTTTTAAAAATAATTTTTACGGCTTTATTAAATTTTCATTAGTTTTTAAAACTTTCATTTTAGTTCTAAATATCAAAACGTTTACAAAAAGAATTAACTTTTTTCCCCCAACTTCGCTTAAAATAAAGAAAAGCTTAAAATAACTTTTGCCAATTAAATATTTAATCCTCGTTATTAATATAAAATTAAACTTTTTAATGGGAGTCTCAATACCTCAAAGAAACCTGTCAACGAAATTAAATTCAAAATTCACCAAATCAAGCTGTAATCCTTTTTGCAGGATTTATTGCAACTTTTCTATTTGCTCGCCTTGAATTGAATGGACAGACAGCCCCTCCTCGAATCGCTCAGGAAACGTTGATTGCATTTTGAAAGGGGGTTAAACTGCTGAATTGCAGCAATAATATTGCAACCGACATCGATATGTGCCATTTGATTTGCATAATTCAGCACACAAACAGAAAGGAAGACCCAACCCTAATGCAAAAAAATGAGCTAGCAAAATATTGACAGGACCTGGGGATTGTGAAAGGCAAAGGCAGAGGAAAAGGAAAAGGGAAAGGGATATAGAAGGAGATATAGAGCCGCTTAAGCTGCAAGGCAGCCGCGCCCCTTTCGACTGTCTGTCTGTTTGTGTTTTTGCAAATTCATCGATAATTGGCAATTTGAAATGGCAACAACAGAGGACAGGGGTTGCTTTCGCCTTTCGACACATGAGAGTGTACGGGCCGAACCCATATTGACTTTGGCACTCTCGAAACCCGGAGAACCCCGTATTCGGGACCCTAAAACCCTGGCCTCGTGTCAAGGGCGCTTTGCAAAAATTGCCAAAAAAAATAACAATAACAAGGAAACAAGACTTCGCACAATAGATAATGACTTAATGACACTTTAATTGTAAACAAGTTAATTCGGGCCATTGATGGCCAGTCACAACCAATTATCGCATCGATTCGAGCCAAAAACGGTGGCGGCAATTAGTGTCAGATATTAAAATTGGCAAAACAAAGCTGAATTATAATTATCGTCGCAATGGAAACCAGATTGGGGGCTCATAAATTCAAGACAGACTCCTCTTTGGCGAGAGATGAGATGTTAAATTAATGGGCCATGTCTGTCCGACGAATGTTTTCGATTTGTTTGAAGCTCGATAAAAATATTTGTTCGTTTAATGGATCCATTTATATCTCGTTGGCGAGTAGAAACTAAGTTTTCCCTCTTCAACCCAAGAAAATAACCGAAATTCCCAACTAATATCTTCTTCTCCCCTTCTTCTATTTGTAGGGGAAAATCACTACGACGCCTTCTGGGGCCCCCGAAAACAAGGTAAGAAAAGCAAGGTAACGGAGAAACTTGGCCAAAAAAGGCCAGGCCAGGCCAGGAAACTTACGAAACAAAACAAACATATTGCAACTTTTACTTTGGATCTGAGGGCTCAGTCTTTTGGGCCCAGGCCCCCGAGGTCGGTTCTCCTTTCAAGTTTCATTTTTTGACAGCTGCTGTCAAATGCTGAAAGGCAGCCCCAGCTCCCATTCGAGCAGAAATCTAAAACAAGTCACACACGAAAAGAGTCGGAGTTTTGGAGTAGGAGTCTCGCAGTTGAATCAGAACTGCAGTCTCGGTCTTTGGATCGCTGGGCCGGGGGCATATCGCCAAAACATCTCTATACCAACACACACACATATGGGCAGGAACAGCACAGCTTAAAGTAATAGGGACCAAAAGCATATTAGATTTTTCCATTTTCATTTATATTTATAAGAAAATCGTGTTTAGAGCCAATAAAAAACAAATAACAGTAGCTATAATTAGTAGGTAGAATTTCTTTTATTTAAGACTTTCTTACAAATGTTTTATAAAATCATATTTTAGTAATATGATCGTATTACATCGTGTTGGGTAGCTATTAACAAACACCGGTAGCAAAAGTTTGACTTTTATTTATGGCGATCTTAAAAATGTTTTCATAAAATCATATTAGCCCTACTATTATTTTAACCACCGCTGTACATATACGTAAGCACACCTTATGGCCCGGCTATGTTCCTTAACCTTCTCTAAGCAAGTTCTCAAAAACACAAAGAGAGAGGCAGAGAAAAAACAATGAAAACATTTTTATAGTTTTCATGCACGAAGTCCACGAAATGAAAAATTCTACAATTTAAACTGACATTTAAATTGATAGTTCAAGAGATGCACACGACAGATACGAAACAGGGAGAGCATACATACATACCCTCGGATACAAACGAGTCCATCCACAAGTATCCGTACCTACGTCTATGTACTCTGTACTCTGTATGTGATGGGAATGCATATGCGCTTGATGCATCGTTTCTGCGGCCTGAGCTGCTGATGATGTGGCTGTGAGCTGAGGAGTGAACAGCCAACTGATGCTGATAACAAAAGGCACAGACGAAAAAAATAAAACAACACAATTGCCAAGCCAAGAATTCTGAAAAATATGATTATTACGATCAACCGCATACGAAATGCTGAGCTGTGGTCGGACTTTCAGCAGATTATGGGAAACTTTTTGGGCATTAGAACAGGTTCAAGATGAGGCCTGGCTTCCAAAACATTATTTAAAATTCATTCAGAAAATCATAATATCCAGTGAGAAAAGTGTGAAAGTTATGAGCAATCGTAGACCTAAAACCACAAAAAAGGGGTGATTTTAGAGAAGTAGGAGGAATTCTTGATTTAAAAGTACACATTCACCAACATTTATTATTGTTTCAACAACTTCAATAACACTACAATAGAACAATCAATTGAAAAAACAAATAACAATGAGTCATATATAAAAAAATTTGAAAAACACAACGTTTTGTGCAAAAAATAATTTACACCAACAGTTTCAGCAACATTACAACAATTCTGATCATCAAACTTATAACACCACAGGTATTCCCTTCCCAAGACCCCAACATCTATTAACATCCAAACGGTACACAACATATAAAAAAAGAGAAAAATTAAGACAACTCGTAGAAAATGTACAACTAAAACAAGAAAACCTACACAGCGAACAACCTTCACCAACAATCTCCGCCGGAATCCTCCAGCGACATTGTCAAGTGTCATGTGCGTGTTCGCTATCACCCGAGTGCCGCAGATGGAGATACAAAGATACAGAGATAGGCAGACACCCAGATACACATACACCTCACTGTGCCAACGGCCAAAAGACGGGGAATATACATATATGTACATATATAAATAATATATGCCATACGAGTGGAGCATAGATTGGGCTACGGCGCTAATCTTATAATTAGCATTCCTGGCAGATAACAACAACAAGAACAGAGTCAGTGACAGGCAGGCGACTGCTGACTGCTGACTTGGACTACAAAATAACAAATAACAAACAAGTTGCAATTACTGAGCGGCAAAAGCCAGCGGCATCGGCAGCGGCAGCACTCGACTGTTAATCGGGTTGCATGATAACTGCACATTAATTAAAAAAATAAAGAAAGAGGCGAGCGAGCGAACGTGGGGGAAATTACAGATCCCAGCTAATACATTTATGAAACGAAACGAAACCGAAAGAGTGCTAATTGAATTATTGCAACAAAGAGTTCGCTTCGTTTCTTGCCATTTCTGGTTGCACATTTAATTGCTCCACTCCACCGTCCACCGTCACTCCACCGATCAGCGATACTCCCTCCCAGAAAAACCCTTTCGAGCATATTGCTTACAGTTCCAGGAAGACCCACAAATGCCCAGACAAAGCCAGACTCCGTTCTAACGGTAAGCAGCTACACAACAAAACCCAAAATAACCCGAAATAATATGGGAGATGAGGGGATCCGAGCACGGAGAAAAATCATTTACTTTATTTAATATTGAAGAAATATATTTTGTTCTCGGAGATATAAGATCTTCATCATTAAACTAGACAAGAAAAAGATGATTGTGCATGATTCCTCATATTTTTTGTAAGGCTAATAAAGTTAGCTTCTTTCAACTACTTAATGTGCTGAGTTCAATTCCCATCTGCAATAAAGATTAGAATTTTTTTTCTTTAAATTTTAATTTAATAATACAATGAAAAGTTTTAACAATTGTTATTATTTCTATTTATTATTATTTCTTTTGTATTAGCTGGGATTTTTTTTTTTTAAATACATTTTTTAAATTTTTTGAGTGCACAGACAGAACAAGTTCAATTTCTTCTCGTTTTTTGGGCAATTCATAAACCGAAAATAAAACACAGCAGAAAACGAAAAACTGTCAAGCTCAGTTTTCAATTGCTTCTGGCCCTGTAATCCGAGAGCATGTCGCAGACATTTGGATGAGGGAACGGTGGGGATGGTATATTAGGCCATGCTGCGGGCTTAGTCACTTCTGGGTAATGTCCTCCAGCCCAGCACAGCACAGCCCAGCCCATATTAGTTTCCAAGTCGCCACATACCGAGTGGTGGCCCGGTCGCATTGTTGTGCTCTCTTGTGTTGATATGACGAGCAGGGCACACACAACCCGAAAGATACACAGCTCGAGTATCTGCAAGTGCACGCAACTCTGTAGTTGTTCTGTATTCCTCCCGTATCTGTGTATCCGTATCTGCAGCCCATGCAATGTCTAGGGCCAAAAGGCGGTTCGGACATTTCAACAGCATGTCGCTTCATTTAAGTTTTTTGCATCAATGCACTCGTGACAATTTGTCATAAAAAGAATAAAAGAACCGAATGCCCAACCAGAAAAGGCCAACTGGTCAGAGAAAAGAGATGTGATGGGTGGACTTGGGTGTGATGATTCCTTGGAAGCTATCCATCTGTTTGCGGAACTCCCAATTAAATTCAATAAAAGCTAAGGCAAACGAGGGGAATTTTTTTGGAAATAAAACACATTTTTATTCATTTTTCTCTTTAATTAAAATTCTTTAAATTTCATATGCCCTATTTGCATAATTAAGAATGTGTTGATGTGTTCAAATTAGGTTTCCTTTGTTTCGGAAAAATAAATATAAACAAGCAGTTCTATGTTTTAATAACCGAAAAACCTATAAAAATCTATGACACTCCCCAAAAAGTTTATAACCCTCATTAGTAGCAATCAGTGTTGCCATCGGGCACCTGAAATCCTCTCTAACGAAATATCGTATGATGCTCATATTTTGCTCCCAATAAAACCACCCAATAAAAAGCTAATTGCATGAATATAAAACCCATCTTTGGGTTAATCATCGCGACCATATTGGGGGTCGTCAGCACCCCCTGCTGAGAAAAAAAGCATCGGAGGCGGGGCAGCTAAATGTCAGATTTGTGATCACTTAAACGCTAACTTATGCATTTTTATATAATTCATTTTTAAATATTTAAAGTCACACAAAAGCATGGCGCACTCAAAACATATATTAAATATCCAGATTTTACGAGGCATAATGCGAGGAGAGGGTAGTGAAGGTGGATTTTTATTACCAATAATTTTTAAATTTGTTGCCTCGCTGCTTCTGCTTTATTTTATTTTTGTGATTTTTTTGTTTTATTTTTTTTGCTTTTTTCGCTTCTGCTTTGTTGGACGGGTGCAAGCAACTTGTTATAAATATAAACACAGATACTTATGAAGGCCCATATAGACGTGCATACTCATATCCATAGGTATATATAGACGGACGTGTGTGCAAGTGAATTGATTGTAAAGCTGCCCGACCGACCGAGCGACGCGATTATTTACGGTTTATTTTCAACACTTCAAAAATAAACGCAGGCGGTACGTGGAAGGGAAAGTTTGGGGGCGGTGGGTGGCAGGAAAAAGGGGAAAAGCGCAACATGAACTTCTGTACCGCTTTCGATCCCTCTCGCTCTCTCTCCCTCTCGCTCAGGCCCTCATTTGGAACAAAAATATTGCATACTAATTTTAATACGTAACACGCGGACGACTTTGAAGGCAGCCAAAAATATCAGCACGAGTGTACAGAGAAAAATAATTAAGATTTAATAAAAGGCTTAAAAAAATTAAAATCGGTATGTAAAATTATTTAATATTTTAAAAATCATAATAATAATAATAAAATAGTTTTTTGTCAAGATAAGTTTGAGTTACAATATTCCAGAATTTTTTTCTGTGTACGTATATTATTTTGCTAATATAACTTAGATATTTAAGGCAATAAAAACTGCTATTTAAAATTATTTAATATTTTTAAAAATCACAATAATGGCTATCATCACATATTGTTTTGTTAATATACGATTGAGATAAAATATCCAGCATTTTTTTCTGTGTACATAGGGGATCCAGACGGTTAGGGCTAAAAGTGTCAGGCGTGCTGTGGGGATTTTTCATAAATTTTTTGGCAGGTGGAACGAACGACAAG